GTAGGGAAAAAAGCTTTCTCTTTACCTATTTATGTCAATGAAGTCTCATGGATTCCTAGTTTATTCAAAGAAATATAATACTTTACTGTCATTATTTTGATCCTCAATTTGGCCAGTGGAAGCCCCTTTAAGGAGGCTTCTGTGTGTTTTTATTTATTTATTTTTAAAATTTATTTATTTATTTATTTTTGGCTGTGTTGGGTCTTCATTGCTGTGCGTGGGTTTTCTCTAGTTGCGGTGAGCGGGGGCTACTCTTGGTTGCGATGTGCGGCCTTCTCATTGCGGTGGCTTCTCGTTGTGGAGCACGGGCTCTAGGTACGCAGGCTTCAGTAGTTGTGGCATGTGGGCTCAGTAGTTGTGGCTTGCAGGCTCTAGAGCTCAGGCTCAGTAGTTGTGGCGCACAGGCTTAGTGGCTCCGTGGCATGTGGGATCTTCCCGGACCAGGGCTGGAACCTGTGTCCCTTGTATTGGCAGGCAGATTCTTAACCACTGTGCCACCAGGGAAGCCCTTCTGTGGGGTTTTTTTTTTTTAATTTTTTAAATTTTGTTTTATTTTCATTTACTTATTTTTGGCTGCATTGGGTCTTTGTTGCTGTGCGTGGGCTTTCTCTAGTTGTGGTGAGCGGGGGCTACTCTTTGTCGTGGTGCGTGGGTTTCTCATTGCGGTGGCTTCTCTTGTTGGGGAGCATGGGCTCTAGGCACGCGGGCTTCGGTAGCTGTGGCACGTGGGCTCAGTAGTTGTGGCTTGTGGGCACTAGAGCGCAGGCTTAGTAGTTGTGGTGCACAGGCTTAGCTGCAATGCGGCATGTGGGATCTTCCCGGACCAGGGCTCAAACCCGTGTCCCCTGCATTGGCAGGCGGATTCTTAACCTCTGTGCCACCAGGGAAGTCCCTTCTGTGTGTTTTTAAAAATAGCTTTATTTGAAACCAAACAGGACCTTCCTGGGGACAGACACCCCCTCCCACCGCCATGTCCCCCACCTCTTGTTTGTAGAGGAGCTTTAGCCTCCTAGGCCGTCCCTGAGTTCCAAAGAGCAAATTGAATCAGAGAAGTGGGAAAACGGAGCAAAAAAGAGAGAGCAGTCTAGACCAAGTAGTAATAGTTTAGCCATAAAACAAAGTCAAGGACCTTTAGTTCTACTTGAAGGCTATAGGTAATATCCTGAGCCATGTCCTTGGGTGGTTTTGCAGATACTAAAGCCCCCAGCAGGTCGAAGAAGTTAACTGCATGCCGCCCACCAGCACTTAGACCGCAGAAAACTGGTAACTGAGATTTCCGAAATACCTAGTACCCTGTTACCTCACCATCAACCAACCAGAGAACTGTGCACGAGCTGATCACGAAACCCATGACCCTCTCCCTCACACTGTCGTTAAAAGCCATTCCCCTGAAAGCCACTGGGGAGTTCAGGTCTTTTGAATATGAGCTGCCAGTTCTTCTTGATTGGCACCTGAAATAAACGCTGTACCCTGCTTCACTGCAGCCCGGTGTCAGCAGATTGGTTTCGCTGTGCATCAGGCAAGCAGACCCAAGTTCTGTTCGGTAACATATTGAGATATAATCCACATACAGTACAGATCATCCATTTAAATTCAGTGGTTTCTGGTGTGTTACATTAACTGTTGTAAATGGTTGTAAAATACATGTAACAAAATTGACCATTTCTTTGGCTGTGCTGCACAGCTTGCGGGATCTTAGTTCCCCAACCAGGGATTGAACCCTTGCCCTCGGCAGTGAGAGCGCCAAGTCCTAACCACTGGACCAACAGGGAATTCCCCCGTTTAATTATTTTTAAGTGTATAATTAGTGGCATTAATCACACCCACAACATTCTGCCACCATCACCATTGTGTATTTCCCAAACATTTTCACCCCCCAGAGCAGAAACTCTAACCTCCCAACCCCTCCAGTGACCTCATGGCTATTTTCTGTCTCTACAAAGCTGCCTGTTCTAGGTTCTTCAGTGGTTACTCTTATGAGGCTATAATACAGTGTCAAAATGAAATTGTGTGTGTAGATTCGCGCCTCTTTTTTTTTTTTTTTTAAAGATTATTTATTTTTGGATGCATCGGGTCTTAGTTGCGGCATGTGGGCCGTTCGTTGTGGTGTGCTGGCTTCTCTCTAGTTGTGGCATGCGGGTTTTCTCTTCTCTAGTTGTGGCACACAGGCTCCAGGGTGCACAGGCTCTGTAGTTTGTGGCACGCGGGTTCTAGTTGAGGCGCACGAGCTCAGTAGCTGTGGCGCACGGGCTTAGCTGCCCTGTGGCGTGTGGGATCTTAGTTCCCTGACCAGGGGTCGAACCCACGTTCCCCGCATTGTAAGGCGGATTCTTTACCACTGGACCACCAGGGAAGTCTTTCCATGCCTCTTTATCCCTTGGATAGATTCGTGTAACCAATATCACAGTCAAAATAGAGAATAGCTTCATCACCACAAAGATCTCCCTCCTGCTCTGCCCTCTCCTGCCCATCCTTAACCCCAGGCAACCACTAATCTGTTCTTCACCTCTATAATTTTGTCATCTCAAGAATGTTATTTAAATGGAATGTTTTGAGACTGACTTTTTTCACTCAGCATAATTATCTGGAGATTTATCCAGGTTGTTGTGTTAATAATTTATTTTTATTGCTGAGAAGTATTCCATGGTGTGGATGTGCCACAGATTAGCCAGCCATTCACCTGTTGAAGGACCTTTGTGTCATTGCCAGTTTGGGGCTGTTACAAATAAAGCTGCTGTAAACACTGGTGCATAATATGGTTTTGTGTGGACATAAGTCCTCATTTCTCTGGGATAA